GTGAATAACATGGGATGGATACTTGAGGGCAAAGGACAGATGACAGGAGAACCGGAGGACGGAAAAATAAGCATGCCAACCCGCGCGCAGTCATACGGGCCTACAGAACGTACAGAGACTCAGATGGTAAAGACACCCCCGATGAGCTGATGGAGTTACTTGTTGCTGTCAACAGCATTCCCATTGCAAGTGCTGAATGTGAGCGCGGATTTTCTCAAATGAACTTGATTTGCACTCCCAACCGTAGCTCTTTGCTCACATCCACCATGTCATCTTTACTCTTCCTAAATCTTGTTGGACCCCCCCTGGCTAAATTCAATCCAGTCCCGTACGTGAGGTCCTGGGTGGCCAAAGGACACAGAACTGCCACAGACACACGCAGTAAAAGCAGAAAAAAAGAGATAGAGGACAATCCGGACATGCTCGTGATGTGGGGTGTTTTAAACAACTAAATATGGTGAGCAAACATACTGTCTATTAATAGGCCGCCGTGCCAATCTTTGAATAGGCCTAATAAATATTTTTTTTACACGTTAAACCTGTTGAGAAATTAATTGCTGGCTGTATACTGAAGTCCCACCTGTGGTGATGTGGGCATTTGCCTATGTTGTGCATACTAGCCTAAAAAATTATAAATTATCGTCATAACATTTATACCATGGATACTATTTGAAATTGAGGCTTGTAAGTCCCACAGCGTTGCAAGTGGACATTTTCATGTTGTTTTCAGCACCTTTTCTGTATACGTTCCGGGACCTGTACGCGTCTCGTCATCCCTGAGCTGTCATATGTACTTTGCGTTCCGGCACCTTATGATTTACAAATTAAGCACTGGTTAGGAGCATCAGGTTTAAACGTCAAGCCCTGTTGTCTAATAACCGACTGGTTAATTACAGCTGGCTTGTGTCGCGAGCCCTGCTGCCGCGCTAACCAACAGCCGGTTACAGCCGGCTCAAACGGTGAGCCCCGCTGTCTGTTAACCGACAGGTAAGAAACAGCTGGCTTATGCACCTCCACACGCTGTATTACACAGCGGTTCTCATGATGTCGCCGTTTAGGAGAAGACTCGTAAACCGGACATTGAGGTTCACGCTCAAACCTGCTTGAGGAATGAGCGGAGGTGTGTGGAGGAGGCACATCTATGACATAGGAAACAAACCCGGGCTGTCTAATTAACCGACAGGTTTTAAAGACAGCCGGTTTGAGCCGTGAGCCCTGCTGCCTCACAGCCTGTCGGCCTGTCGGCTGTGAGGCAGCCGCTTATGCAGCTTTTTTTATGTCATCCGGAGGAGAGCTCTCCTGAACCGGGGGAACGGAGAGATCTCATTAGGCGGCTGCCTTTCCGATGATCTCCGGGAGTTCCTGGAGAATACCGTCTATCGACGGCAGAGCCGTGATGGCGGATAGAGGGACCCGGTGAACCGTCGTCAGCCACCTAGACTCGGCTACTGGGCTGACACCGGGCCCCCGCCCTGTCTCCCTCTCATACGGCGGGGGAACCACATGGTGATCCGTGAATGGAGGGGAAGGAGTCGCCTGACTGCTGCCCGCAACTCGGATCCAATAAATAAAGGGCTTGGTCCACCGAGTAAGACTCCTGGACTAGCCAATCATCCTCGGCCGCAGCAGCGAGAGCGTCCGCTCTTCACTGTCTGTGGGCCAGAGGGAGACGGACACAATGAGTGCACGACACCTGGGGAGTGAGAGTGGCGTTTGCGTCCACTAATCCCCGGCAGGACTCAAACCGTGAGCTCCGGTCGTAACTCATATGTCAGGTTGACACCGGGCCCCCACCCTTTTTCCCCCGTCCGGAGGAGAGGGAGGATGGGCCCAGGGGAACCAGGAATGTTTGTTTTTTAGTAAACAGCTCTGAAAAGAGCTGTTTACTAAGTAGACAGTGCTTCTGCAACGGAGTGCTGAAGAAAAGTGGGAGCAGATTGTAGGGACTACTTCCTATTTATACGGAAGTGAGTCCGTAGGTGGGGCCCACGTCATAGGTGGGCGTGGATTAAGTCTGTCAGTGCTGCACACGTGCAGTGGGATTACCCAATAGCGATAGCCTTAGAGGGCGAAGCCTTATACGATATAGAACGGAAATAGGTGTGAACTAAGGAAGAATTCATTGTCTGCTGACAGCGTTTCTTAGAAAGAGCTTGGTCACACTGAGTTGGATTTATAATAATAATAATACATTTTATTTGTATAGCACACTTTGAAAACAAAGTCATCTAAAGGTGTTTCCCAATTCAATGAGTTAAAAATGATCTAAGAAACATATTTTAAATAAGCAGGACATACAAAACTATAGAGCTTAATTTAAAAACAGAGCACACAAGGTATTTAAAAGGTGATCCGGTGGATTACAGGGAGCCAGTGGACTGAGAGATTTGCATCAGATTAAACGCCTAAGGTATACATTTGTTGATATCCAACTTCATCTCAACCTGAGATTTTCCTTTCACATGTTGTCCTGTGCTTGGTTTATGGACTTTTTTCCCGCAACATTTTGTTGAAATATTATAAAGATAATATTAAAGGTCAAAATATGATGAGAAAACATTTGTTGCAAATGTTGTGTTTTTCTTTACTCAAAACCAGACTAGGAGTTTTTATGCATTCAGATATGAGTTTGGTATATATCTTCTCTTATGATATTAGGCAAGCAACTGAATCTGCAATTTCCGCCAGACTATGGATTTCAGATGGTCGGACTCATTTAATATACTGTATATATGTTCTTTGAAATAAGTAACCTTAACCTGTTAAGGCCGAGAGGCCCCTAATCCGGGGCCTGCGGGGTGTTTTTCACAAAACTGTGTCTCCCAATATTCAAAAACGTATTAATGTGTCATACCAATTTAACCGGTAACGAACCATTTTTACCGAAACAAAACACAAGTCTCACAAGAAGCGTCTAAATGAGAACATACAGAACACAGCACCAACCAACATTTGCTATTTGTTCCCGAGTCAGGGCTCTGCATCTGATACCGCTCCGTCCAACAGTGACAGTACAGCATCACCATGTATAACATTTTAAACATAACGATTACGTATTTCAGGCATATCAGGTGCACAAAGAGCATGCATTAAAATAAATAAGAGCATCAGAACATTTATTTTTAAGATACCATACATTTTATAATTAGACGCTATTTCATTGTATAATGTGCTGCAGATATCTTATCAGAGGTCAAAAATAATCTCCATCGGTTTAAAATGTTTAAGTGTTGAGAAACTAGCAAATGTGATTGAGAAGGCCGACAGTGTACAGACATTTGAATGGTAGGTCATACATTTTCCTTGAACAAACAACTTGCGATAATAAATTATGGCTGTGCAAATTCTAGAATCTCTTTGTCTCAGTTATGTTAGAGGAAGTAGGTAGAATATTGAATGTTTATTTTCATTTGCAGTTACCTTAATAACTTAATGTTTTGAGCTTGGTTTGTTTTTCTTAGGGTGTGTCTTTACACCTATCATTTGACTTTATAAATAAATGTCCTTCCTTGTGCAATTATAACACCATGACGGATCACGCCCAGTTGTTACATATTTGTACTTTTACTCTTTTACTATTTTTTTCATCCTACAAAAAAAAGATCTCTTATTGGTCATCTTTATTGACAATTTTTGGAGGATTTGTTTTAGATTTGTATATGTTTGCAGGGCTCATTCAGGCTCACAGTTGTTAATGTAGTCAATAAAAATGTACTTGAACAAATGCACAGGACAAATACAAGTAATTGCTCTCAATTAGATCGGCAGTATCTGTATTTGCAGACAGACACATGGATTGTCTAAAGCTGCCTGGTATGTGGTACAACAGGTATGTCACAGAATATCACGCTGATTTTGTAATCGAGAAAGTACATTGATAATATGATTTGACAGCTTAATTACAGAGAGACAGAAATTGATAATCAAATAACTGGCAGAAGCTTTACCATTATCACTCTTTAAGATCACTGCTTCTGCTTTTTGCTGGCAGGCCAATGGAAACAGTGTTGTCATCACCTCATGAAGATTGAAACGCAGGGCTCAAAGAAAGCCATTCCAGCGAGGCAGGGATCACTATACCATGAAATAGGTAATGTAACACAATGCATCACATAGTCACATACCTCTAATGATGTCAATCAACAGACGCCTGCCTTCAGTATCCAAGGCAGCTTATCATTTGGTTAAAAAAAGGTTTTACGTTTAATTTCAATCTATTGAAGCAATTCGTTTTCATTTCTTTCTCCACAAACATATATTTGCAGTGTCTTGAATTTAACCGGAGTTGTGTAATTTTACCTGTGTTAAAGCTACATAAAAAATTACAGGGAAACCTGTAAATAAATGTTCATATAAAGGATTCGATGAGTAAAGAGTGATATCCTCATTCAACAGAATTCCCCTGAATCATCACAAATGACCCCTTAGAAGAGTGTGCCATTGAGTGTATACGTCCTCGGTTTTGTGATTAGGGTTTCTCTAAAAGCATAGATAGCCAGATCATAAGCATGCTTCCAGTCAGTAGCTACAAGAAGTGCAGATACAGTGACAGAGAATGTGTGAAAGGAGTTTACTCGGACCAGATGGAAACCCCCCTCATTGAGAAGGGGTGGAGAGGCCAATTTATAATGTTGTTACCAAATAATCCTACTCATTGTGCCTTTTTTAAATACAATACTGAATCAAATGAAAGCAGCAGCTACTGATTTCTAGGATGCCACTTGGGAGAATCTCAGAACACTTTTTTTTACATCCAGCAGGCAATAAACAACATTTACATCAATTAGAGTGGTGATCGCATCTAAAGCAGAGACGGTAAAGTACAATAATGTGAATGACGTTAGCTCCTCAGATCTGGGAGGTAATGCAGAATTGACTGACCGCAATTTGTTATTTTATCATACTGAGCTACCACATGCACATACTAGTAACAACATGATCCATTGTCCATTCAAAATGGATGGCAATAGCACCAACTTATACAAGAGTCTGCTAATTGGTATATGGAATAGCAAAAGAAAGGAGCTACAACATACATCACATGATTTGAGCAGATTGGCATGACCCACTCCTGTGGTTGGCATTCTGACAGTATGAGACATGTGATCCCTCATTTGTACCGTTGTGTCTTCATCTGCACAGCCCTGAGAGTGGACGAACAGGCCTGAACAAATGACATCATATAAAAGAGATAAATCATACAGCCCAGCAATGAACTCAGACAACGAGCCAGACACTGTCAACGTGAATATCTGCTGACAAAAACATCTGTCACCACAGAATAAACCATCTTTAAGAGCAACCAAGTGGAACATGTGTCAGCACCTGTGTGTGTGTTGTTTGAACAACGATACGTTTAAAAGTATTCCAACTATTGACGTACTGCGAGAAAAAAAACTAACAAGGAAGGAAAGACAATATATCGCAGTAAAGGAAAGAAGGTGCCTCCAAATCCCCCCTTCAACATTTTTCTATTCTCAAAGGGAAATGTTTAAAAGTGATTTGATATATTTAGAGCACAACAATAATAATGACTCCTTCCTCTTCCTTTTCAGTGACGCCCTTGGCTCCTGGAGAGGGTCATGTGATCCCGGATTTATCTGTTGAGATCCGCGCTTTGCTCTCTTCCTACTACAAGGAGAGGTAGGCCTTTATGGCACAGACACTCATTCTCCCTTTAAGCCTGGGACAAATGTGCCAATATGATTTACTTTCTCCTCTATTCAAACCCCGCTAATGATCACAATGACTCGCTAGATCACTTGTTTGTTTTGATAGTCCAACATTGCTTCCATCGTAAGGCGGAGCCACACGATATGCTACTGACGTCTAAGGAATGAAAACAATCTCTGCCGTGACAACAGACGATGGAATTTGTGCTTTAACCATGTTCATCTTTCAATGCGTATGTTTCCGTGGCTGAGATATCAGCTTATCAATATCATCAATGATGATAGATAAATGAGAGACATGTTGTTAGTAATACTTGACAGTTCCTTTAGATCAGGGGTGTCCAAACTACGGCCCGAGGGCCAAATGCGGCCCGCGGACCATTTTGAATTGAATAATTCAGAAAGTATAATAAACTTCTGCTTGTCTTATATTGTACTTCTTAAATATATATGTTCAAATATATTACACAGTATTCATTTGTTAATAGGCCCAATTTTCAAATATATTCAGTCAATTAAAGTTGAAATCATGTTCTACAAATCTAAGTTGATAAGAAAAAAAACTCAATAACAAATGTACATAACAACCTGAAAATAAACCTTTCGTATTTCCTTTTATTATAAGATATCTGAGGATTCTGCTTTAAGGAATGAGCTGCTAACAAAATAAATGAAACCCTCTGGAGAGCTGTGATGTAGGCAGTTTTTTCTAACAGAATTTTCAAGCATCAAGAATCATTTATCTACATTGGATTGATTTTTCCAACTTATAACTGAACTTATAAGGCAATATACCTCAACTCGAGGAGTGGCACAGCCCTTCGTATATATGTCTGCATGTGGCCCTCGGTGAAAAAAGTTTGGAGACCCCTGCTTTAGATTGACTGACCTTGTAAGTCTTTAATTGTTGAAAATGTACTACTATTTCTGTTTGTTTAATACTATAAAATGAAATGAAAGAGGTCACATCAATTGCTTTGGGAGGTTTATTTCTTCATTACGACTTTATAAATTGTAATCTCAAATTATTATTTCTAGTTTGGTCAGTTCAATCATGGATAAAAACAAGAACAATCGTCATGTGTGGTTCACCGTTGTTGGTGCAACCTAATGGATCAGCAGTTACGTGATTTAACACGGGACATCACAGCTAAGCAAGATGAATACATTTCAAACACACACTACTCCTCATGAACAATGTGGGCTTTGTTGTCCCGCACCAACTGCTTTTCAGACAATTTAACTTCTTAGATTAGCAAACATTCAAAGTTACAAGTTTAAGTCTGCACATAATGCACCTGAGTGTCAAATGCCACATATATTGTTCAGGAGGATGGTTTGTGTACCTAGAAAGGCCAGAGATTGGTCAAAAGACGGCAGGGAGAACAGGCTGTACCTTTGGTAGTTATATGTGTATGATATATATGTGAAGTAGCAAGCTAAGAAGATGACAAATATTTTACAATGTGGGCTTTGTGTGGCTTTGAATGCCTCAAGTGTGTTTGTCCATCAGTCTAAAAGTGTTTTCTCTCCATTACTCTAGTTCTGAGTCAGTCTCTATTGAACGCACCACAACCATATCAATGCAGCAGTAGCTTACACAATTTCCCAGACTTGCATTAAAAGTTGGACATAATCTGAGATGCTATTTAAAATGCTTTGCAAAGTGGGTAATTTATTGTTGTAAACAAGTTGGTTTAGGTTGCAAAAGCTCTAGAAAAATGTCAATTATACTTCCTTCTGCCTGGAAGGGATTGCACCCTGTCATAAAGCCTATTAAATAGGTCAGACAAAATATGTTTTGTACAGGTTCCGGTACATTAAATAAGATCTCATCCTCATACCAACCATACCTAAATGAGAAATTGGCAACCTCACACTTCGGACGGGCCTGAAGAGTTCCTGAATAGTCTCAACTGTCAGGAAAGATGTGTTGTGGTTTTATCAACAGTGATTATACAGTAACTGGGGTGTGAGTTTCACACACTGGAAAAACAATTCCTGACATACCTGCCCTGCAGTAAATCTTTACAGACACTTTAACAAGACAGATAAAAGATTGGAATTGAGACATTAAGGCAGATGTAATGCTATTTAAGAACACTGGAATCTTTTATTCATCATTATACTAGTTGTTTTTGTCTCTTTCACAGTTATTGATGACCCTGCCACAGTCACAATGGAGGAGTGAGAACATTTTCTTATTTTATTAATTTGTTGCTTTCAATCCTGGTCACGAAAATCTACATTGTAAATGGTGCTATTTTTTTAAATATGCGTAGGAAAAACGTATTATTTATATCATCTTTTTTCAATTTTCATATCAACTCTCTTAATCTGAACTGTTTAACCAACCAGAAATATTATTAAAAATAAAAAGCAGACATAAAACCTTCAGTTTAATCATTGCTAAACATTGATCTCTTTATTATTTCACCTGAATATAACATTGATTATTCCGCTCTTTGCAACATGCAAGCTCCATATTGTCATAAGGGCTTCATAGTTCTAAATAAAGGTTTGATGCTTGTTCTGCGCCTAGTTAATCTGTGTTACTTCTGTAACTAAAATGCTTTTGGCAAAACAAACTGAAAACACAGGAGTTTCTGTTTTTTGATAACCTATAAGGGGACATTTAAAAATCCACACAAAGAGGCTTCTGAGTGAAGCAATAAAAACACATGTTCCAACTGGATTTCTTATCAACAATATCTTTGTATCAGGAAACAACTGCTTTGCATATAAAGTCTTTAAAAAGGTAAACAGTTTCGGGAAACGAACCCTGTAAAGAATGTGAACATTTGTTATTGAACATTGAACCAGTAATTACAGGGTTGTGGTTGTTGTTTTAGTCACAATGATGGGAGTGTCCGTTTTATTTTCACACCTGAAGATTCCCTACACTACGTATTCGAGAGATTAACGATAAAGACGATTATAGACAGGACAATAACATAATAGTAACCACAACATAAAATATATGTTGGTATGATAAACAAATAAAAACAAAACTTAGATAATTAAAGCCCAATTGAGTCTGATCTGTAGTTTTGTGTTGAGTCATACTGCATGTTTGTATTCCTTTGGAAATCTCAAAATAAAAGTATTAGTGCAGAATCAGCCAATAAACAATTGAGACATCAAACATTCATTTATTTATTAAAATGTTAGATTTACAATACAATGACAGTATATATTCATTTAGACATTTTTTTCAAGAGTGGGCATTTTTCTTCAAATCTATCTCTGCTTATGATATGAATGAATTATTACACATCAGATGATTGTTAGTTTTTTTTAAACTTCCATAGTATTGAGTAAAAACGTATGTTATTATATACAAATCATATACAGTTTAAGAAATAACAATATGTGAGCTTTAAAGTGGTGTTGGAGCATCTGGACTGATGTTCACAATGATCTTGAGATGATTTTCTTCAGCTTCTCCACTTCTTCAGTGGTGAACTGCAGCAGAGGATTAGAGGGTGAATTCAACGTGAGCATAGCTGCTAACCCCGTGTCTGACTTCTCCCCCCCCCCCTGCACTGTGTCTTCATTACAGGATATGAAGGTGGCATTGTCTCGCTGCACTGTGCGGGGACTAGAGTCAATATTCACTGGGAGGGTGGAAGCCTGGGTCTCTTTGTCAAAGGCATCCCAGCAATGTGTGGGTCTGGAGCTGGATGACTTGTTAATTTCCCGCTGACCAAACACATCCTGGCTGGCTGCTCTTTTCAGGATATCTGAATGCTGAGGATTGTAGTTGGTGAAATGATCTTGGCTTGTTTTGTGGTGATTTCTGGTACTCTGGTTGGGGCTCGGGAAATTCCTTCGCGTCAGCGTCAGATCCTCAGCTTCACCTGAGGAGTTGCTGTGTTTGTGATTCATGTTTGATGCCATATTAGTAGGGCCCCCCTCCGTGTCGGGACACTTCCTTTGCTCCTCCTGCGGGGGTCCATGCATCTTGACTGAGGACCCACACAGCTTGAGCCAGCTATGAAACACAGACAGTGGTACCTCAATTTCCATTTTTCCTCCATTCTCTCGAGGGAGACCAGGAGGTAAATCAGTGAAATCGAGCTCCCTTACTTCTGGACTCCCTTCTCTCTCTTCTTTCGGACGGATCGTTACTTCTGTTTTTGGAGAGCTGGACCTTTGTGCCATAGTTGACACGCCTTCATCTGTCCTCAGTGTTGGGGCAGTGGGGCTGCCTGAGGCTCTTAGAGCTTTTTGATTGACATATGCCTCTCTAGCTTTCTCTGGATATGATGTATCTCCCAAACTTGCCTCGCCATCTTGTGTCTCAGATCCATCATTTATCATCACCTGCAGGCTACGAGGAGTGTACAGAGGGGAGGGCTTGTTCAGAAACTTTGGGGTTTTGCTGGATGAAGGTGGGCTGAACGATGAGGCGGGGGTGCTGTAGGTTTCCCGCCTCTGTGCTTTATCCAAAGGTCCAAAAGGACTGAGGTCCCAAGGCTCAGACAGGCTACATGTGGTCTTGTACTGATCTGCCAGGAAGCGCAGCTGCTCCAGCGGCTCCAGCGGCTCCTCCAGCGGCTCCTCCAGCGGCTCCAGCGGCTCCAGCGGCTCCAGCGGCTCCTTTTCTCTTTCTTTCGGGTTCAGGTGAGATGTAGGGAAAGGGAACCAAGGCTTGGGGGGTGGGGAGCTGTGTAGTGTCAACACCGGGGAAGAGACGGGGACGTAGGGGGGGAGGACTGCGTGGCTTGGGTGATAGTAGCGAGGGTAGCGGGGCGACAGAGGGAAGACACTCTCACGAGGGTGTGAATGGAGGGTAGGTGGGTTCTGTTGGAAAGATAGGGTGTGTTAGAGGTTGAAGGAACATTTTAGGGAATAATCCCATTCAATTTATTTGCCAAGAGGTAGATACAAATATGGGAACACATCTAGAGCTGGTTTATCCAAACCAAACCAAATCTGCCTACAAATATTGGGTTTAAGTGAGCAATAGGATGTGCTGGACTTTTTCGCCACTGGTTGCTATATTATTACAACTGTACTGATTAAAAAGAAGAAAGTGTTTGCTAGTGAATTTATAAAAGCTGTTAGTTGTTAGTAGTTGCTATAGCTATTTCACTCCATTTCCATTTGTATGCTAAGCTAGGCTAATCAGGAGCTGGTTTAAGCTACATACTTAGCAAATAAGCATATTTTACAGCATTACAATTACACATTTGCTTTAATGTATTGTTCTATTTTTTATAAAAGAGAACAGGTTTAACCAATAGGAATATGCGAAAAAAATCTTAAATACATGTTGTTGCATCAGAACCACATTATTTAGAAGAATTCACAAAATATACCATTTAACATGCATTCAGGACACAAGCAGTAACTTCAGGATATAACTATGTATTTACTTCGTTTACATATTGCTAACTTATATGTATTGAATTAATATTTTCTGAGAATGTCTCTTGTATCTTTTTGGAGTGTGAACACCACCCACCTGGTGCAGAGGTAGGGACGTCAGTTTGCGTTTGGCCGGCCTTGGGCTGTCCTCTCTGCTGAAGCTGGTGAAGTGGAAGTGCTTCGGCTGGTTACGGGGCACCACGTTCACCAAGATGCCTGTCAGGTGACACTCGTACGGCAGAAGCAGCCTGCACAAACAACACATTGATCAGATAAAACCTTTTTCTAAGCCTCTCAGCACACTCACTAACCCACTCCCGTTGTCAGACTTACTTCTCGTAGTGTCTTCGGGTGCACGTGGCTGCGCTCGTGCTCCGGGGGTTTCCTCCCAGAGAGTTATACACCTGTTTCCACAGTTGCTGGGCCATCACCTGGCAGAGGGCACGGTGGTCAGTGGCTGATACTTTTGTGACTTCATAGTGTGACTGTTATATTTCAATATATCACAATGACTAAATGAATTCCTAGTTATTTTGTTACCAAAACCAAGCTATACTAACATTTGGCCTAGCAACTGCTAAGCAACCCCAATGCTGTATCAACAACGGGTACTTGTGGGTTATCTGTCGCGACTTTTTTTTGTTTTTTTCAAAATCTTTACTACCTAACCCTAACATTTTGAGAAATGAAAAAGTTCAAGTGGCGACAGATAGGCCTAACCCACAAGTACCCAATAGTGCTATCACTAATATAAATACATAGATATATTATATTATATATATATTTATATGTAATTACCTGGTGGTAGCCACCCATCGCTCTGACAACCTTGAACATCAGAAATAGATCAACTGGAAAAAAGAGACAAAAGATACTCAACACACTTTATTATTTATGTAGCAATTTCAGAACTCTATTGATCAAATAATTGATTATTATTCAATAAAATCAGCTTCAAGAAATATAATCTTAGTTATATAAAACAAGTGAAAATTACTTGATGTCAATTAACTATTCAGTTATTTGACTTGTGGTTATAAATCTGAATTTCTATTCTCAAAAAAGGAATTATTAGTTTATGAAGTAGGCAGGTAAATAACTATATTCATAATACCATGTCAATTATTAAATAACAGGACATTTTTGTTACTAAAAATAAGTAAAATGCATTAATCAGCTTGGGTCCCAAAATCTGATAAATATTGATAATACATACTTTGTTTGAAGCCAAGGTTGGGGATCCTCTCTATGGGAGTATCTCTCTTCCTCATGAACAGGTAGAGATCTTTAAGGAATTTCTCCTCTGTGATCTCCTCCGCTGGATCTTTAGTCCGCTGCTCTAGGATCTCTCTTTGTGCCATTTCCACGTGTGCCTGAGGACAAACAGAGCACAAACTATGATTTAACTGAAACTAAGGAATACTTAACAGTTTGTATTTAACAATCCTATTACTGTTCTGTCCTTTTAAAATGTGATTTAAACATACTGGACCAAACACACCTCAAATACCTGAGATTCTCTGGGGACAATGCCTGACTGTTTGTTTGGAGGTCCTATCCTCTTGACGGATGATACTCAAACACATCCATGTTTTTGACCATTTATCAAAGTTTTATCCCATGTTTGTATTAGCTTCAGTTGAGGCTGTCTCTTGAGACAACATGCCATTGATATGACACAAAATGGCATCAATGCCTTCATTCATCCCTTAGCTTCCATTGTTTGATATTATATATAAGTCAGCATAGGTATTGTGACACTTGGAATAATTACAAATAATGGTTTGCCCCTTTCTAGTTGTAGTTTAGAGTTTTTGTTATCTTATACTTCATCATTCAATATTGTAGTTTACTACAATCATGTTACTAACGACCAATAGATATAAAGAGTTGCATATGATCATTATTTTCCGAATAAAGCAGTAATGCTGATTGTATTTGACATTTTACACAGTGATATTTAGAAGAGAGCTTCTGCAGGTCGAATGCATGTTATCCAATATAACAACAGCTTATTGTAAAACAACAACAGTATCCAGAGTTGGATGGAAAAGGCAGGATAGCAAATGTGAGCACCATATTTTTAAATCTAGAACACGAATAGTATAAATTCAATAAAATCACAGTCAATCTATTCTTGATTTTCATTTTTGAAATGTTCCTTACCGGTGTTTCCATTGGGAGAATAAGCATGGGTTATATTATCTCATGGCCTTGAGGAGTGTACAGGTTGCTGTTCCCTCCAGTGTTGTAAAAGGAACTACAAATCACTGCAAGCCCTTTTGAATGTCGCGTCAGTCACCTGTCCCTTGTTTCTGCGTGACAACTTGGGTAACTGACAGAGGGGGTGTTTCTCCAACGATTTCCTGCTGAGATTGCTATCGTCAGACCAGTTGAACCTGTTGTACCTGTTGTTAAGCAAATACCCAAAAACGGTTTCCTGGAATATTCCATGCAAATGTTTATTATGGGGAGAAAACCAGTGGAAATATGTGATCATCATATCGAAATAACAGGGGATATTGTTCAAATAAGTCAGCTTTGATAATTTGCGATTTAGGATCCCTAGAGCATATTTCAAAGCAAAAATTAATCTGTTGCCATCAGTTGATCAGTAGATGTGCGTGGATAGCAGAATTGTATACCAGAACAATGCAGCAGTGTTACTGGGAGGGTTGAATTTAGCGTATAATTATTGCAATATTATGTTCACATATACAATAGTGTATGGTAACACTGGCAACATATTGAGACTGGTAATTATCAATGTTGAAATAGGAAATATGAGACTTTGATGGCTGACTAATAATACTCACTGGCTGGGACACATTGCATGCAGGTGACTGTGGTTGAGTATGCAGTTTTTCAGCTTTCATAATTATTCAATTGTCCTAATTATTCAACTGTAATAATTATCCCCAATTTACATTTTTTTTTACAATTGTCTTAACCTTAAGTCTCCTGTTTCTATAACTATAATCAAGCAAACTCAAAATATGCATGACCGTCAAGTCTTTTATCTAACCTTAATGAGGTTATGAGTCATCATTCCATTTGGAAGAATACTTGTTTCCATTGCTCTATCAGAGCTCAGTGACCTTTTCATGTCAATTATATTAATCAGACAAGAAAGGGGCCGATTAATGTCCTTTACATGTCGTCAGGTTAACCGCCCAAATGGTACAAAATGCTGACGTTATCGAATTCCTTCTTAACCAGTTTATTACAATAAATCAACTGGGTGGTGAACTGCCATCTTTCAACATTCGATTTAAGCCAATTAAACAATTAAATAAGGGTTTGAATTCAGATTATAAAAGAATAAGACTGCTACTGTATTCTATAATTATCATTAGGAGATGACGGTGTACACTCCTTATATATCTTGGATACAGTAGGGTGTTTTAATTGGACCAAAACATCTGTCAACAATCTATTTCAGGTACAGGATGATTTCTGGGTGTGCCACTGACATTAGAAAACCCATAACTAACATCCATATTGGATGAAAGGCGAATGAGTAAAGGTTTTGTTGATCCTCCTCAGTTTTGGTTGACTGCAATTCCATGTCATGAGTCATCCTGTGGTGTTCCCGTATCGTATCAGCTCAGTCATCTGATTTCATCTATAAGAAATGTACAATCTGAAAACAGCAAAGCAACACAACTGCTTTGTTATTTTGTAAACAATACTTAAAGGGGACCTATCATGCAAAATGCACCTTTGTACGTCTTTTATACATGAATATGTGTCCTCGGTGTTCCAGGGAACTCACCAAGTGTCAGAAAACACAACCCTCTCTATTTTCCTCCTTAGCCAAATCTCTAAAAAAAGGGGCTGCAACGGATCTGGAAAAAACGGATCCAGATTTCAACACTTTTCTACGTCACAAAGAGGTGCTCCGCTTATTGGTCAACTCTCCACCTATCAGGGGAATGAGCCACGGCCACGTGCATTGCCAAACCCCAGGGGTTCTCAACCTTTTTTGGGCCAGCGCCCCCCTGTCCATTATCCAGGTCTCTTACCGCCCCCCATCAAAAAAAGTAGACTTATTTTCTTCCCTGAATATTAATGTTGACTAATATTCTGTGTTATATCATTTAAAAAGCATGTCACTGAATGCCAAATAATAGATTTGATTTAACTGGGCAGTTGGAATATCATTATCATTAGTTTACCAGAGAGCAGGAAAGCCATGTGAATGTGAATAAAAATGATATTTATGAGTGTTAAACAAACTCAGACAAGAGCAGAGAATACAAACAGACTGCTACGGAACAGCAGCAATTTCACACATGTCCAGTGCAGAACAAAAAGTAGGCTACAAAACTGTACATTAGGCCTAAAGAACTAACAGGTCGGAAAGGTGTTGCATTTCGCCAAATTGCGGGGGGGGGGAAGGTTAGTGTGAGCCCTGCGCTTGGTGGTTCCCCGCCAGTTTCTTCACTGCGGGTTGCAGAGAACTTAGTTTCAGTCGCAGTGCACCTGAGGCCGTCAAGTTCAAGCGATTGCGGTACTTGGACTGCATGTGGAGGACCTGGCTGAATCCCTGGTCCACGAGGTATGTGGTTGGGAAAGCCAGAAGAAGCAGCCTCGCTTTCTCCCAGAGAGCCGGGTAACGCTGAGAGTATTTGACCCACATGTTGCCCCAGCCAGAGGTGCGGAAAATAGCCTGGGCCTCATCGTCACTCTGGATGTCGATGAGATGCTCCTGTATTGCTGGCTCGCATTCCGCCACGTCCGCCTGAAAGGGCTGCACACCCAGGTGGGAACATCGAGGTCCAAAAGATCTCTGAAGCGGATCTTCAAGTCGGCATTCACCATCCTCAGGTGGTCTGTGTAAATGAGGAGGCGCTCATCGGTAAGAGCCTCAGACACCTGCAATAGAGTATAACCAGGAAATTGTTATCGGTGCAGAATGTTACCATCCGATTTTAAACTGGTTATTTTATTGCTAATTAGTTTACTAATTGATGTTTCTTTATTCTCATAGTACATTCAGAACATAAGTTATTTATACTAACCAGGAACACAAATATAGTGTTTGCATAGAGTAGCCTACATTTATTACATGTATTATTTATTATTATCATTATTTAGTAGCCTAGGCTAGATCACCTTGGTCAACAGTGGGAAATGGGAAAATGAGCAAACTGCTTCCTGCCTTATGCTCTGCCCGGTATATGATTCCAGCCTGGAGGGTTGAGACTGTGGAATGACCGCCTTGCTGCTCTGGATCAGAGTAACTCCTTTTCCTTTGGAGCTTCAGCGTGACTTCATTCATTTTGCCAAAGAAAGTCTGCGAGGTTACATGATGTCGCAGCGGCTGATGACACACTGTTCCCCGAGAGCCTGCACCTCCACCTTCTCTCAGGAAACTCCACACAGCATGCTGTTGTCAAACAGCTCACAAAACGAGCAAGGCACAGTTTCCTTTTTGAGAGGCCAGCGACATCAGTGATTGTGGAGAAGAAGGACGCTCAACAGGTCTAATCATTTTCCTGACACAGCTGTCGGAACAATCTGTAATTCAGCGGCGTGGGCTTTTATTTTTGGTTTATTGGCCTTTACTGGCAACATTGAGAGACTCGTTGGAGAGGTGGGACTCTATATCTTTAGATTTGGCCACAAGGTTGTGGCGGTGCAAGAAGAGCACAGTGGGACTGTGAGGACAACTGCGGGAAGTGCTTCTTTACGCAGAAGTGGTAAGATTTAGCGATTAGGCATCTGCAGCCCGCATGGAAGGGGGCACCGCAGTAAGCAGCATGCGAGGATGTTGTTGATCAGATTAACAGTCTGTAAGGATAAGGACCATCCTGCAGTGCATTCTAAATGGTGTGAAGCTGATGTCTGTGATGCCAGGATATGTTTGGACATCAAGAATTTCCCAGCAATCTGTGAAGCTGTTGGAGGTCAGCTATAGCGGAGGATAGGCCAATAGGCCAACAGGAACATTGTTGTACTCAAAGAATGAGAGCATGTCCTGCACTTTCAGCTGTTAGGCATCTGAATGGATTCCCGCAGGATGGCATACAAGTCTGCTCGCTCCTGTATTCAGACGGCTCATTTAATCAAGTCCTGCTGCTACGGTGCCATTGACTGGAGTGGATGGATTGTCAGCACCGCTGTGTATGTGATCACGCTAACCCCAACTGGAGTGACGTTTAGGGATTATTTTAAGGTCAGGCGTAATAAGCTATTAGGCTCCCTAAAAATTAGATGTGATTAAAAACAAGAGAGAATAAAATATAAAACAATATAAGGATTAATTTTTCTAAATATGACTCCGAAAATTATGTTCATCTGCAAGTTGCATTCCCCCTAATTGAGTGGTGTGGAGTTGGTTCGCGATACCTCTTATGTCAGACAGCCATCCATTCGTGGGTCTCGCTGCCTCCATCTAGTGGGACAGATTGGTAGTGTGAGAATACCACATTTTTTCCTGATCTTGAAGATTCCAGTTGCCATGATTTGTCCCCATCAACCAGCAGAGACAGCATATAGGCCTTGGAAAAAGAGTTAGTGAATCATAGTGACAGGTAGTCAGTAGTTTTTTGTTCCTCAAAATGAAGGTTTTTGCGGGAACAAAATAGTCCTTTATAATGTTTGTTTGAGGCACACACCTCAGTGATGGACCCAGAGATCATCGAGTGTTTTCGAGTTAGAGGTTAGGGTTGGTGTAGGGTTAGGGTTAGGTTAGGTTAGGTTAGGGTTGGGTCTGGGGTTGGGGTTAGGGTTGGGTTAGGTCAGGTGGGGTGGTTCTGGCGGTTAGGACTGGGTGGGGTCGAGGGTTGTCGGTGGTGGAGTGGTCCGCGGCAGTTCCCACGTCCCAAGGAGCGTTGGGGTTAGGAAGAGGGGGTGGTGATGCAGACCCTGGTTTCGGGGGCTAGGAATGCTTCCTGGTTTTGGACACAAATTAACATGGGATTCACTCCGGTTGTCATATGGACGTACTTCGGTTTCCACTGAATATTAATGGCCAGATTGAATACAACATAGCACCCAATTCTCCGGTCAATTGACAGGAGGAGTTTTGAAAGTGACAAAACACTGCTTCCACACATTTAAAAACACTATAATCAAATGATTACCAGGGTCCATGCACCTTCCCTGGGCTGTGTAAAATGTGGTGATGCCGCCCTGGAGGTATCCTTACTTCATTTAAAACATGTATACACTCAATGTACACCCTTCATTAGGGTCCCTAACACATGCACACAGCCTGAGCAGCGACTCGCGCCGTTTCCAAAAACAACACCCCGCTTTCCATTTGCCCCATCAGTT